CAGCAGGGCCCCGGCTCGCGCTTTCCCTTCCTCCCCAGCTGGCAGCTCCACCTGCGACAAGGCGCTCCCTTCGGGTGCCCTGGCCGGTGTTACCGCAATTCTCGGTACCAAGGATGACGCGCCAATCCCGTCAGCTCTCTCAAGCCTCTTGGGAAGTTGAAGCGGTTCTGAGGAACCCTGGAGCCCTTTCAGTGGTGGGCGGAAGAGATGGGCTGGGGACTGGGAGGCCAGGTGCAGCCTCTCCGCCTGATATGCCATCCTCCCTGGAATCTTCTCAGGTCAAGGACGGTGTCTTTCATCAGTCCTTTGTGAAGTGGATTGGTATTTACGGGGATCCTAGATAGTCGGAACGCGAGAGACACTAATCAAAACCACTCTAGAAAGGAGTTGCTAGGTGGTTCTAGGCTCCCCTCACACTAGAGCCCTACATAGGACATACAAACTAGCATTAAACATTTGAGGCAATTTCAAGGGCCCAGACCATTATCTTAAACTCATTAAGAAAGTTTATATTCCAGAGCAAAAACCAGTCAGCAACCTTTTACAGTAGTTCTCAAACTGTGGTCCCCAGATGGGCAGCCACAACATTCCCGGCAAACTTGTTAGAAATGCAAATTATTGGGCTCCACCTTAGACCTACTGAGTTAAGCTCTAGAGGTGAAGCTCAGCAATCTGTTCTAACAAGCCCCCAGGTGGTTCTGATGCATATTGAAGTATAAGAACCATTAACCTATTACTCTTCGTGCTTTTCTATGCAAAAGCTTTCTCATCAGGGTAGGACAGGGTGGATTAAATTTTTAAGTGAGAAGAGCAAGATATACATGGTCCCAAAACAGGGGTGAAGTGGAAGGTACTGGAGGAAGTCACCACCCAATTTAAACAAAAATGGACAACACTTTGGGTACCCAGCATTTATTCCCTGTTCATCAGTCTGTCAGGCAAATAACTGGGCCTTTCTGTCCAATCTGCTCGGAGATCTCTGGAATTAAAGCATTTCCTAAGAAGCCTGTCCTTACTCCTCTTTGTTCTACATTACTTCCTTGGTGATCTCGTCCCCACCCTCCCCTCTCCTTTAACTATCAATTTGAGAGGTTATTTTCCAAACCTCTCATTTCCTGCCCAGTTTCCTGAGCTATAGGCCCAAATATCCAATAGCCTATTCAGACAGTACCACTAGATTTCCCGCTTCACCACTTCCATTCGTCATTTCCTGACATACAAGGCCCTCCAAGATCAGAGGTCCTTTCCTCAGGCTTCCTCTGCCTAGAAAGTACTGCCTGCCTTTTAACAACTGTGCATCTATTAAGACTCAATTCACAGATGAACCATCTCCTTCCTACTTTAAGAAACTTTTCTTTACCTTTTCCTCCTTTTCTTTACCTTCCCTTGGGTAGACTCCCTTTTCACGCCCAGCTAAACCTTTTATAGATATCTGCCATGGCGCATTTAACAGCAGTCATAGCACATGAGCATTTAATCTACCTGTATTTAACCACATAAACTTAGCGAAAACAAAACACCTCTGAAAAGCCATTATATGCTTCAGAGTTCATGTGAAATAGGAGCCATTATGCTTCTCCTAATGTGAATATTCCTTTGTGTTTAACACAAAATTTTTGTACAGATAGAGCAATAATTTTTTTCCCCAAGGGGACATTTGGCAATGTCTGGAGTCGGTTTTGGCTGTCACAGCTAGGGAGGAGGGGGTTACCAGTATCAATGGGAAGAGCCCAAGGATGTTACTAAACATTCTGTGACACACTGGGCATCCCCCTTCAACAAAGAATTATTCAGACTAAAATGTCAATAGTGCTGAGGTTAGGAAACTCTTAGACTGCTCTTTCTAAATAGATTTGGTCATACAATTCCCTTGATTAAATTCCTCCAATAGCTTCCCACTGGAAACAGAATAAAATCCAAACTCCTGGCCCTGGTCTATTAAGCCCTATATAGTTTGGCCCCTGACTACCTCTCTGATCTCATCCCTCTTCACTTTCCTTCTCAAGCACTAAACTCTGGTCACAATGGCCCTCTGTCCAAACATATTGAGCTTGAGTTTAAACACACCAGAGATTCTCAGGATCTTTGCACTTGCTATTGCTTCTACTTGGAATGTTCTCCACTGCATGTTGCATCTCAAATGTCATCCATCTCCTTAGAGAGGTAGGTATTCCCTGAACATTGTAACATTAGTAGCCACCACTGCCACAAACACCATTACCAGTTATACACACTTATTATCCTATTTAATTTTCTTTGTAACATTTAAAAGCATCTGAAGTTCTGTGTTTACTTTTGGTGATCTCCCTCCACTGCCCTGGAATATAGGCTCCTTGAGAATAGGGATTATCTGCAGAGTCTAGTAATAAATGTTCAATGAATACTTGACTGACTACAACAGGGCCCACAAAACTCAAGCCAACTATTTCATCTGGTGATCAACTTAATAAATAAATTTTGTTTCCAATACTAGAGGAAAAACTGGCTCTGATACACCTGCTGAGCGATGATATGTTGGAATCCACAATGTAGTGTTATCCTAAGGGAATTTCAATGTACTTTCGAAAATACAGCCTTTTCAGATTTTTAAGGCAATGAAATTATTCTGTATGATACTATAGTGGTGGCTACATGTCATTATGCATTTGTCAAAACCCAGAGAATGTACACCATCAAGAGTGAACCCTAATGTAAACTATGGGCTTTGGCTGATAATAATGTGTCCATGTTGGTTCATCGATTGTACCAAATATGCCACACTGATGAGGGATGTTGAGGGTAAGGGAGTATATATGTGTGGGTGGAGAGGACTTTCTGAGAACTCTCTGCATTTTCTACTCTGCTGTGAACCTGAAACTGCTCTAAAAAAATAAAATCTATTTAAAAAAAAAGAAGAAAATACAGCCTTTTCACTTCATATGCTGACTTTAGAAAATATAACTTTTATTATATTGCCTCTGCTTGTGTTAGTCTTCGGTTAAACTGTAAACACTTAAAGAGCAAAAGCCATCTTAGAATTCTCAGCATTTAGCATGAAGCTAGGCACTTTTATGTCCTATCACCACCATTCTAAGTTGGAAATTTCTGTGTCCCCTATTACTTGTTAGACTCTTATATATCACACTTCACCCATCACAATCAGTAATCAGATCCTATGGATTTTACTTTCATGTTCTAGATATAAAATGTCATTATCTACTTATTTGCTTCTCTTGTTACAGCTTTTCCTTTCCATACCTACTACTATCACCTGAGCTGACATGTGCAATATCTCATCTGGACCATAAAAACGGCTTCCCACCTGGTTTTTCCATTGTCAAACCATCTTGCACAGGAAGTTCAATCTATGTTACTGAGTGAAATTCCAAGTGGTATGTATTCAATAAAAGCTACCATTTATTAAATACATACTATGTGCTAAGCACTGTTAACCACTTAACAAATATTCTCATTTTTTTACATTATGATTTAAATTTTTTGGTAACAGCTTTATTGAGATATAATTTACTATGTAAAGTGTATAGTTCAATGGTTGTTTAATATATTCACAGAGTTGTACCAGCACCACAATCAATTTTAGAACATTTATATAACCCCCAAGATAAACCCCACACCATTCAGCCATCACCCCCAATATACTCATCCTCCTCATCTCTATGCTGCCACTGCAATCTGCTTTCTGTCTCCATAGATTTGCCTCTTCTGGACATTTCATACAAATGCATCCAGTCAATATGTGGCCTTTTGTGACTGGTTTCTTTCCCTTAACATGAACATAGATGAACATGTTTTCAGTTTATCCATGCTGTAGCATGACTCAGTACTTCATTCCTTTTTATGGCCAAATATTTCATTATGTGTATATACCACATGTTGTTTATCTATTCATAAGTTGATGGACATTTGGTTTATTTTTTACCTTTTGGCTATTATGAATAATGCTGCTATGAACAATTATGTACATATTTTCATTTCTCATGGGTACATACCTAGAAGCAGAATAGCTGGACGAAATGGTAACTCAATGCTTAACTTCTTCAGAAAAGGCCATTGTTTTCCAAAATAGCTGCAAGATTTTACATCCCCACCAGCATGAAGGTTGCAATTTCTCTACACCCTCATTAACCCTGTTATCTGATTTGATTTTTGATGTTTTGATTACTGACATCTGAGTGAAGGAAGTGCTATTTCATTATAGTTTTGATTTGTATTCTCAGATGACTAATGATGTTGAACATCTTTTTATGGGCTTATTGACCACTTGTGTATCTTCTTTGAAGAAACATCTACTCAGATCATTTGTCCATTTTTAATTGAGTTATTTGCCTTTTTATTATTGAGATGTAAGAATTCTTTACATATATTCTGGATATAAGTAGCGGGGTTGAGGTCACAGAAGGTTGTAGGAATGAATACCTGGGACTCTCCTAGTCCTGGGAGTGTGGTAAGAGGATGACAAGAGACAGGGTGTGGTAGAGAGGAAGGCCCAAACAGAGAGCTGATGTTAATCACAACTTTGGCCAGAGAGAAACCTCTGATCCTGATGTGTTCTGTGTAGACAGGTAATACTTGCCAGTGAATAGGAGATAAGATAAAGCAAATGACTTACTAAGCCCAAAACTGAGTTTATTGTGGTATAGACCAGGTGATAACAAGTTCCTATATATTCAAGTAAAGTCTGATACACCCTGGGATATCTAAAATACAACACAAGAGCAAAAAGTTTCCCTAGGGCTAGAAGTCCCCAAGAGAAAACAAAAATGGGACACATATCTCGAAAAAGCCAGGAAAGAGAAGACTGTGCCAATCTTCACAACCTCCCCCACGTCCTAACCACTTCTCTGACTTGCCCATCCTATTTGTCCACCACTTCGAGTAATTAGTATCTCCACTTTTTAGCCCAAATTACTGGATGAGAAAAAAGTCTTTTTCAGAAGAATAAGGTTCCATTCCTCTCCTTGGTGCCATCTGGTTCAAGTCAAAAGGTACAACTTTCTCATAAAGGAAAACTGTTAGGAACTCTAAGTTCTATAAAGATTTATGTGAGGGCTTTTTGCCACACACTAAATCTAGAATCCTGTCTCTAGAAGCTACATTTAGCTAACCTCTTGGAAATGAGTCACATCACATAGGATCTCCCATTTAGCTTAGTTTCTACCCAGATGAGAGAATTAGGTTTAGGACATAGTGGGTTTCAAAGTTAGCAATAACCTGGCATTAGCAGGTAATTTCATCACAACTTGTCATTTTCTAGACATCCAGCCAGGATTGAGGTCAGCTATTTATACCTCACCATCTACTTTTTCTTCCAATTGCCTCTTATCCAGCTGGCAGGAACTTCCAAGAAACATGACATAGTAGGCACTGCAGTATACTGGCTGCTTGTTGGGGTTGGAATAGACCTGTTCAGGTTTGAGGGACGCAAAAGGGTTGGCTCCATAGGCTGTGATGTGCATATCCAGGTCCACCAGAATCTGCAAAGATGCTGTCAACTCCTGATTGCTACGGAGACAGATAAGAAAATTTGCTCTGCTGATTATGAAAGACATAAGAGAGAAATTGCTTAGAACTTGACATTTCTGAACTCAGTGATCCCCAAAATTACCTAAGGCTGGACTAGGCAACAGCAATCCCTCCCTCCCAAATGTCTATAGTACCTACTCAATTAACTAGCGTAGCATTTTGTCTCAGGAGATGAGAAAGCCAAATGCGGGAAGGAAGAAAATCCTTACCAAAAGGCAGAAGATAGCAAGGGGGAAAGAAATGAGCTCATTTACATAAAGAGAGGTGTGAGTGAGTCAGGGAGGTTTCACAAATAGGAAGAGGGCAAAACCTGTAAACAGTAATCATTGTAGGGATCTCATAATCACGAAGTAGCAGGAGGGTGGGTAGCCAAGACTCCGTCAAGTCCGAAGAAGCATGGAAACCTACAGAACAAAGACAGAGATGGGAATAGGAAGGACAAAGGCTGAGGTAGACCCTAATTAAGATACTTCTTTGACTGTGCCCACCCTTCACCTTGCTCCCCTCCAACATTCATTTACCACCATCACCCACCCTATGTTCTTCAAAGGGAAAATTATGAACCCAAGTGTAGCACATATGGCTAATGATCAACCCAGGTCATCATTATATTACATTTAACCTGACCAAATGAATGGGGTTCCAAAGGTACAAGAGTCAGGATAGGAAATTCCCAGGACTGACCCAGTATTCCCCCGAACCAAAGACTCTTACCAGGATGGAATGCCACCACCAAATCTGGATGGGCTATCTGTCCAGTCTCCACCTGCTCCTCCCAGAAGTCATGATAGAGGCCCCTATGGCCACTAAGCTGAACTGTGCCAGGTTCCAGAAGTGAAGCCGAGGTGCTCTGCGAAAAGCCAGCAGCTATGTCTATACCTACCATGATTACACGGAGGCCAAGGTGCCCAGGAAACATGTAGCCAAGCTCATCATAGTCCCCGGGCCGAGTGAGGAATGTCTCTGCATGGGAAGCACCAACCACATGCACTGTGCTTCCCCCGACCTTCCTAACGTTTATCCCCAAGGCCCGAAGCCCAAAGCCCAGCGTCAAGGGCCGTGACAGGGCATCTGTCAGCAGCCGCTTCAAAGAGCCCTGCAGGACATGTGGGTCTGGCCTTGACCGTCCTGCACTGGCCCAAAGGGTGGTCATGGCCTGACTATTAAGCACAGCATCCAGTGTAGAATCTAGCTGTAAACGTCGCATAGAAAACCAGCTGTCCCAGCCCTGTACAACTTCAGTCAGCCATGACCAAGGTCCCGAGGGTAGGACAAAATCACCTGCAGGAAAGAAGGAACAAGAAATGACTTGATCCTTCCCTGGCTTCAATATTCCCTCTGTGTTCATTCTCCCAACCTCTGACCTGTAGGGCCGCACTCCCTGTCCCACTCAGTTCCTCATTTTCTCCTCATAACATGCTTTCATATGTTTGTCCTGAGTATGACCACTATGACTGTTATGGCAGTCATACCAATACCACCACTCCACCTGTGACCAGAAGCCATTCCATGAGACGGTCCACGGCGACAAGACGCAGCTCTTGACAAACCCTCCTGTGTGCTGGCCAGTCTGACCTCTGGCACTCTGGACCACAGTAATAGACATTTCTGCACCTGAGAGAATGAGCCCCAGAAATAGATGCTCCTATACCTCAAAGGTGACTGAGGGGTATCTGGGGAGGGGAATTGATATTCCTGCACCTAGGAAGAAAGATCACTGCGTAAGGAAGGTAGGGAGAGGACTGACAGCTGCTACACCAAATTTGGGGACTATATTTGGCAGAGAAGGCAGGAGAGAGTGGGAATGTAATTTTTCTCTTGGGTCAGAGGGACACCTCAGCCTCATCTGGAACTCATTTTTGACATCCCTTACAGAAGAAACCAGGAGTTTGTGGCTACCCTCTTGTCACAGATGCCTTGACCCCAGCCTCCCCAGAACAGATATGGTCTTACCACTTAAGTACTCAAGAGAAGGGAGGTAGAGGGGATTACACGGTGATCTCTGTCTAACCTCCCCATAATACCAAAATAAGCAGGAGCCCAAACCTTTTCTAATTTCTCTGTGGCCTGGATCATACAGAATAAGGAGAGGGCCTTAAGTTATTCTGAAAATTCTCAGACCTTTCCTCCTGCAATAGGATCGTTTTTGGATGTCTTCCCTACTAGCCCCCAGCTCGTCACCTCTTGCAGTGCCGGAGGACCTTGGAGTCTGAAAGGCCACTAGGGAGTGCTCTACAGTAAGCACAGAATCGGAATGTGTCCTCCATCTTCTGGAACATTTCTTGAGGGCATCGAAATCCAAAGCCTGATACAGGAGTACCCCCATCTAGCACCAACCTGCAGAGAGCATGGAGAAGCAGTGGCAACAGGAAAAATATCTCCAAAATTTCTCATGACCCATACCTTGCCCCCTATTTTTTCCCACTCTCCTACTCCCATTATTTCTTATTTAAGCAAATTACATTTCTTCTACAGTAATAAAACTGGCAAAAATAAGGATAAGAAAATCCCTCATTTTGCAGATACCACATATTCCTCAAGTTGTACTCCCTCTCCACCTTCTGAAATCATTTCTACCAGGGATAAGGCTAGTCACTCACTTGTATTCTTCATAGCTTTTCATGTTCAGCTTTTGAAGGATCAGCTGGGATAGGCCAGGAACATTATTCTCCAAGGAGAAGAAGCCAAGTGTATCAATGCTAGGGCCAGGTTTTGAGAGGGTCAGAGGCACAGGGGTTACAACTGTGGGTGGGGTCACAACCACAGGAGCCACTGATGAGAGGGGTTTCTTGTGCCTTCGTCGCCGGGACCGTGGAGCCATGGCCTGTCCACTAATACCTGGAGACTATATGCAGAACAGATATGCAATAGAAGTTTGCAAACTGAACATAAATGTGTTTGCATATGTTTGACCTTTCACTTGTCATTCCAGCCCCTCAGGCCCAGGTATCAGTAAGATTTATTTCATATCTACTGATTATTGATCACCACAGGCAGTTGTGAAAAAGAAATAATTAGATGTGAATACAATTATACATATATGTGTTACATATGAAGTTCTATATATAATGTAAGCATATATGTAAGTAAATGCTTTAAAACAGGTCTGGCAGAGCTCATATAAAACTGATAACAGATTAAGTCTGAGGAGGGGAAAAGGCACTGGGATGGGAACTGGGTTGATCAAAGGGGACTTTAGCCTTACCTGTAATGTTTGACTTTTTAGACAAGGAATATATACATATGTTACTAGTGTATTTTAAAAATAAACTTAGAAGAGGAAAAAGCAAAAAGTTTTGGTTGTCTAAAGCTACCATCTAATTGGAGAATCACTCAACCTAATCTAGTTGGGGAAGGAAAACATACATTTCAAAAGATTATAATCACATTTATAAGGAATACAACAAGAAGCAGAAATCAAATGCAACATGAAATGAGCACTACAATGCTAATAGTTACGCAGTCAAAGCACGTTATGCAAATTATTAGAAAAACTTCCCAAAGAGGTGAATTTTGAAGTAGAACTAAGCCCACACCCACCCACTACATAGCAAGAACAATGTGAAATCCTCCTTCCCTGGCTTGTCTTCTCCCATTCCTTTCACAAGGGCTCAATAAACAAAACGGATTATACTGGGAAAAAATTAAAACATCCATCCACTCAATAAATATTTATTGATAAAGAGAGAAAATCACGTGCAGAATACTACAACAAATATGAAAAATATACTTAACATCTAATTGTCTTGAAGTGGGATTAGATGCAAACTCTAAGGCAGTATATAAATCCTATCAGAAAGGTGAAACTAAAGCTGTAATGGGAGATCAGGAGAGTCTCTTCAGAAGGTGAGCTATAGGAAGACTTTATGAAGCAGGCAGCACTTGGAATAGACCATGAAATATGGTAATACTTTGAATACACAAAGATAGGGAACAAGGAATTCTAAGCACAAAGAAGGGTATGAGCATACTAATGTAGATGGGAACATTCTGGGAATTAATGAAATAAAATGGTCTGAGTTTGACGGTAAAGTCTAAAGACCTAAGTGTAAGAGATAAAACTATGAAGTCCTAGAAGAACACGGGAAAATCTTCATGATACTGGATTTGGCAATTTCTTGCATATAACACCAAAAGCATAGGCAACAGAAGAAAAAGTAAACTGGACTACATCAAAGTTAAAAACTTCTCTGCATCAAAGGACAAAGTGAAATGGCAACCCACAGAATGAGAGAAAATATTTGTAAATCACATACCTGATTAAAGACTAATACCCTGAGTATGTGAAGAACCCCTAAAACTCAACAACAACAAACAGCCCAATTTAAAAATGGGCAAAAGACTTGAATTGACATGGAATCATGACCTGTGATCACTGGTTGGGGAAGCTGAGGAGAAAATCATTGAGAAATGTGATAGGAATTCTTAAGTATTTGACAGTTCATCATAGAGTTAAAAAAAAAAAGTTTTCCTCAGAAGAGATTCAAAGGGTAGAACTTTAACCACAGGGTGAGATTTAAATAAAGGCACATTTTGGCAAATAAATAAATAAATAAATAAATAAATAAATAAATAAATGACTTGAATAGACATTTCTCCAAAGAAATTATACAAAATGCCCATAAGCCCATGAAATGATGCTCAACTTCACTAATCAAACCCAAATCAAAAACATGAGACACCATTTGACTCCCATTAGGATGGCTATTATCAAAAAGCTAGAAAATAACAAGTGTTGGTAAGGATGTGGAAAACTGGAATTCATACACTGATGACAGGATTGTAAAATTGTGCAGCTGCTATTGAAAACAATATGGCAGCTCTGCAAAAAGTTAAATATAGAATTACCATATGACCCAGCAATTTCACTTAGGTACATACACAAAATAACTGAAAACAGGTACTCAAAAAAATGCTTGCCCACAAATGTTCATAGCAGCACTATTAATAGCCAAAAGGTAGAAACAAACCAAAGGTCACCAACAGATGAATGAATAAACAAACTGGGATATATATATATCCATATATATATATACACATATACATATATGTACATACATACACACATGTGTGTGTTTATCAGAGTAATAGAGATTGAGAGAGAGAATGAAGATTCAGCCATAAAAAGAAATTAAGTACTGATATATGCTACAATGTAGGTTAACCTCAAAGACATGCTAAGTGAAAGAAGCCAGATATAAAAGGTCACATTAGTTAAATGATTCCATTTATATGAAATATCAAGAATAGGTAAATCCAGAGATAGAAAGCAGATCTTTGGTTGCCAAGGGCCGAGTGGAAGGGGGAATAAGGAGTAACTGCTTAATGGTTATGGGTTTTTCTGGGGGGGGCTGATGAAAATGTTTTGGAATTAGATAGAGGTGGCAGTTGCACAACAATGTGAATGTACTAAATGTCATTTAATTACTCGCTTTAAAAGGATCAACTGTATGTTATGTGAATTACACTTCAATTATTAAAAAAAGGTATCTAGAGATTCAGAAGCTAAAAAATTATTATTCCCTCTAAAAAAATGACACAAATGAACTTATTTACAAAACAGAAACAGACTCACAGACAGGAAATCAAATTTATGGTTACCAGTACAAAAAGGGGGCATGAGTAGAGGGATAAATTGGGAGTTGAAGATTTGCAGATACTAACTACTATATATAAAATAGAGAAACAACAAGGTTCTACTGTATAGCACAGGGAACTATATTTAATACCTTGTAATAGCCTATAATGAAAAACAATATGAAAAGGAATATATATATGTATAACTGAATCACTATGCTGTACACCAGAAACTAACACATTGTAAACGGAATACACTTCAATAAATAAATATTATTCCCCAGGTAAACTGCCTTCAGGGACAGGGAAATGACAGGATAAAAATGCTGACAGTGGTTGGTTTCATTGTGAATGAGGTAATTATTAAAGTTCAAATCAGGAGTCATGTTTTGTTACAAAAATGGCCTGAAATTTAATCCTTCTGGACCAGATCTGTCAGGAAAAACACTCCAGAATCATCACTCAGCTGAGATATAGGTGGCAGAATAATCAAACAAAAATCCTCCCCAAATCATACAGCTAATATCCATTATCTTTTGACATGGCTCTTGCAAACCACTGTCCTGAGGTTAATGGAGGAACTATTTCGTATTTTCTTTCTCCTTGTCCTTTCATTCTACCCCTGTACTCTCCCTCCTCATCCCACAGATGAACAGATGGTTTCAGAGTTCACAGAACAGAGACAATTAGGCTCATCTGCATATCATATCTTCTACAATCCCACCAACAGAGAAGAAATTAGACCTAAAGATGATACATTATTTTAGGATTTAAGGTTCCTGTCTCTTTACTCAAGGTGGATGGAACTGCCTTTACACCTTAGAACCCCATTTCCAACAACTGACCTGATCCTTCCCTCCACTTTTAATCATCATTCTCATCACATTTCCAGCATAACTGCAATTCTAGAAGAAGCATTTATCAGCTCTATCTATCCAGCTCCCTTAGGCAAGACAACACCATCTTAAACCTCGAAAGAATGGATTCATCTTTTCTTCCTACGTATGGAGGAAAAGTATCTTTGAGATAATTCAAGAGTCTTAAATTCCAGGAGTAATAATAAATATCTTTCATATTCAACCAAAGGCCTTTATACTGCAATGGAAGCCAATTAAGACCTGAAATGTACTGCCTCACTTATCTGCCTTTCCAAAGAGAAGTCTTCCTCCAATGGAAGATTAACTCTAATGGAATACTCGTTGAACAGACTGGAAGTCAAGGGATCACATGGCTTGGGGAGGCATGGTGTGGGTGAAATCCCTAATGTCATAGTTTTCCTCTGTGTCTAGAGTGGGTTCCTGATACAAATGAACTAATTTTACGGCAGGAAGGTTAAGAAGGTTGGGAATGAGGAGCCAGGTCTTCACATTTACATCTATATGTATCATCAGGCTCATGTCTTGAGTTTGCGTACCCCAGTCACAGACCCAGTTTCCCTGGTTATAAGTTTCCAACAATGAACCCCAAGATCCTCCGAGTTCAAGGTGAACGGTTCGGGGAGGAGGGATAGTGAACTGACAAAAACAAAGGCAAAAAAGACAGGACGAGGGAGAAGTTGCTAAGAATTATAGGAAGCTTTCAGAATTTTCCAGAATTCAGTCTACCCCACATAGAAAGGGAATCACTAACTTTTTTTCTATTTATCCCCAGTGACTTGGGCTCTAATTTAATCCCAGTATAGAAGAAAGAGAACACCAACACTAAGGACTGGCAAGGAGAGAAGGTATGAACTGGATGGCCTACAAAAACCCATTCTTCATCTCCAAATTCCCTAAAATAATTAGTCTATTCCCACATTTAAGTCCTCTATCCTCCTCCCTCCTTACCACCAAAAGCCTCAAGCTTCACCTAAATCAGTCATCTTCTCACCATCTCTAAACCAGGAAGGCCCATCTAATTTTCCCTAATTCACCAGCAAACAAAAAAATGTCTTTAGGGAGGTAAGGAAGAGAAGGGGGTGTGAAGCTAGTCATTGGAGATCATCAAAAGGGGTTGGGAAAGAGAAAGAGAAAATGAGAAAAACATCAGGAACATTGCTATTATGACAATATTTAGCTGCTTAATCAGTGATTAACACTCCCTGGGGTGCTAAATGCTTTACTCAACTATAAACTAAGCAAGCAGAGGAGTTGATGGAAAAGTAACTTACCCTGCTAAGCCCTCAGCTTCCTTCCTTCTCTCTTTCTTCCAAGTGAAATAAATGCTTGATCTCCTCAGATCTATGTTGTGGCTGTCTTGCAGCTGTCCCTTCATATCACTTACTTTTGCAAACTGCTGAAATGCTGGGTCTCTGTGATTAGATGTGTCCTGCCAACCAGACAGACAACACTGAATTCTCCCTAACGAGGCAAGTAGGGACCTGGCCCCCTGCCTGTGGACTGCTCTCTTTCTGACCTTCCTTCTCTGCCAAGAAGGCTCAGAACTCTTGTCAACACTCCCAAACTCACCAAAGGCCAGGCAGGCTGAGGAAAGATGAAGTCTACTGCTTCCTGGACCCCTCTCACCAAGGCAGCATTTCTGCTCTTAGTCAGCATTAGGAAAAAACCCTTGGGATTAGTTCAGAAGTCAATATCTGATTGGAAAGGATAAGCACTAGCCCACAGGAACAGGAATGCCTGGAGTTCTTTCGGGGGGTGTCAATCTAGACCCAAGATCAGTTCTCCTAAGACGAAAGTTCTTTTTCAGCATATTGAACACTCCTCAGACACAACTCAACAATCACCAATGTAAGCTTAAGTACAAATATAATACCCAGAAAAGGAGAATAGAAATGGTCATTAACGGTACAGAAGAAAATCAACTGTGGGGGAGACATCCAGAATTAATCTGTAAAATTCAACTTCCCTGAAAGGAGAGCAAGGCATTTTCTGAGTGAATGTCATCAGAGGCATTCCATCTGCTTATTTTATAAGAGGAATAAAAATTTCTGGAATATTAAAGTAATCAAGACCAAAATATTAATGACTAAAAATGCATACTATTTCTAGGAACAGAAAATAGAAAAGAATCAACTCAAACATCTTCTCATTCCTTCCTGTAATGGATGCTAATCCAGGGAATTTAACTCCACATTTCTAGCTCCTTTTCACCTAGAGGTATCAAACTCTAGAATCTATCAGAAATTATTAGCACAGTGGTCCTATATATGACTATAAGAACTGACTTTCTGCTCACATCTGGCCTCAGCTATGCCACTTACCTGCCTCTGGGAACATCATCAAACCAGGGGACAGAACCACTTGCAACGAGGTCCTGGAACGTGGCAAATAAATCTACATATGAACAGATGCAGAGAATGGATTCCAAAGGAACCCCAAACTGTAGAAAGCACAGGCTACAAGTAGGGAAGGTGGAAGAAAAGTGTTAAGGATGCAACAAAACATTACATAACATTATACAGAATAGCTAAGGACAAAGGAAAATCACTTGCAACAGGCAAAAATCCTGAATAAAGGAGGGGTGATTCATTTTAAGCAAAGATTTCAGGGCAATTTCAAATTTAACTGGCAGAACATTTGAAGGTTATGAAGTCTGTTAATAATGGCGGAATTGCAAAATATAAAAGAAATCTGAGATTGTCTTTTCTAACTCAAAAGCGTCATCTTTAAATACAAAGGGAGATATGTAGAAAAATTTGATATTGAATAGTAATTTACATTTCACCATCATTACCACTTGCTCTGGTACATATTTAAATGCACAATTTAGAAAGATCTGTAATTTCTCACAATTTGCATTCATCCTGAGTTACATTTAACAAAGAAAAAAAAACAACCCTTAAAAACACTTCTATAGTTATTTGTGAAACTATTTAGAAGACAGACTAGAATGAGGTTCCTATTCAACAAGTAGGAAGTGACCTGTGAGGCACTGGATGATATTCTACCACTCTTCATGTATACCACTTTTTCTGAGTTCCATTTCTTCCTCTTATTTTCTTCTTTTAAATTTTTACCATCAACCCATAATTCTTCTAGTTTGCTAATGATGCCTTATGTTTACCCATGTTCTGATAAACACTATATAACCCTAGTGACAGATCTAAGGGCTAAAGAAGTTCCTGGTACCTGATATACTAGTTAAGCTCTTAACTTAGAGATGTGTAGTTTTCATAAAACAATAACATCAAGAAGAATCTTTAAGGTATGCAGTACATAATAACTTTAAAGGCAGCTCAGGGACTGGGATGCAAATTAACATTACAGCAAGTAAAAGCTGTAATGATCAACAATTTGAGTTCCGTTTGCTACCTAGAATTAGGCAAGTATATATATTTTTTCAACTTAAATTAATGCTTTTTATGTGTATCATAATCTTGTTGAAAATCATAATTAAAGTTGCTATATGATTATATTATTATAAAATGTTGAGCAGTATCCTAATTTCCCTCAATTTGCAAAATTCTAAACCTACTTTGATTATAACAAAGAAGAAAGGAATATAATGGCAAGAAAATGCAGCATCATTTTTTTCTTACTGTTAAAACACCTAATAAATTCCCAATACTACTATAACAAAATTCTAGACAATAATATTTTCTTTTAATTAAAAGTTAAGTGAAACAGTAATTTTAAATAATAGATTTAGGCCTATAGTAGGCACCCAGAGTCCTTTAATGCTCAGTTACTAATATTCATGTAAAACAAGTGTAACCAAAGTTAAAAAAAAAAAGCATTATTTATGAAGACAAGAATTTAATTCATCAAATTACCAAGAACTATCCAATAAGATAATTTTCTCTGAAGGATATATCACAGTTCTATTAATAGGATTTTCTGATTTGCATGAGAAGGTCAAATCAGACTATATCTTCCAAATAAAACCCAACACAGAGATAGGAGCAGCGGCCCATGCATGGAATTTATTGTGTGCTATTGTTTATAAAATATTCGAATAGTCCTGCACATGCATAATATTTCCAACTCAGACAGGAGACCATACAGGGTGCACTTTCTGGCAAACAAACAATAGATGGTTCCGCTGCCTGGAGCTCTGAGTTGTATTCCAGGGCATGAGGGAAGCAGGCCACCAAAGTAAAGGGAAATACCAAACTACAGTGGCAATCAATACAGATCAATAACTGTGAAAAATTAGCACATGGTTCCATTTAATTTAACCAAGCAGTTCTGTAACTATCAAAAGAAAATGTTCAACATGCAGTCTTGACTTTTATGCTTCCACTAACATCTGAATGATTTGAAACAGAACCATTGCTTCTATGCTGCACTGCTTAATCAAAAACACTTCCAGAACATTTTAAAATTTCCTTTGCATTAAAACATAAAAATGATAGGAAGCCAGCAGTAAATCACCCTGTGGCTATTTAAGCAACTTGAGTACTCACAATAAACTAAAATTTCTCATAACATCTAGGTAACCTATACATGTCGTACCTGTACATCATAGGTCTATATATTAAATATTTGCAAAATGAAAACATGCATACACAAAATACGTCAAGTTTTACAGACATGATTTGAATTAAAATTTACTTTGACAATGTACAAACTTCTTTTAAAGTACCTTAAATGAGTAATTCTGTAATTCTTCATCATTTTGAAATTTAGAGGTTTTCTTCTTAAATCTCTGGGTGTAAATCTTAAAAGATCTGGGCAAAAAAGTTTCTAAGTTAGTTTTTGGATTTGTGTTCAAGTAAGAGAGTCTGCCTAGAAATAGGTTATGCATTCAGAATTGAAAAATACCAAGACTATATTACAGAATTAGCCACATTTAAGAACTATAGCCCTGAAGTCAGCATTCTGTATAAATGCCAACTGGGTTTCTCAGCATTTTGCCCACAATTCAAAATACACCTTAGTAACCTCAGAAATGTATTTTAAGACCATGCTAATTCATCCTTTAAAGACATTTCATGGAAAAAAAAAAAGTCCACATTAGCTCTTAGGATTGTATTTGAAGTTATGGTTGGAAAACAAAATCTAATTCTACTGAGGGGAAAAAGAAATCTCATTTGTAAACTTAAATGTGTGAACCACAAGCATAAATGGAGGTGTAGTAGCCCTCCACTGGAAATTGCCCCAAGCCCCTTGCTCACTGCTCTCCACCTTGGCAGCGATGACCCAATCTTATCATATAGCACAACATGTCCCAGGGCCCTCAAGCCTCCATTCAGGAAGGGGGCTGGGGTCTCAAAAGCACAATGGTTTCTCCAGAGGGACTGTGACATCTACAGTCAGCTTGGCCGACCCCTCCAGCTCCTCGGGTGATCTGTCCATTTGGGGCCCGAGTTGTGAGAGTCCCTGGGAAGCCGTGGGTCACTGGGCACCATGGTTGCCAGTCCCGTGGTTCTCAGTGGCATGTGCGGTGTTCAGAGAATTGAAACCATCTTGCTGTACAGCATCTTTCCGGGGTGGCATTCTCTCATTGATCCTATCCAAACCCTTTGCCTCTTCAAAACTGCAGATTCTATGTGGTGGAGAGAATCCTCGTATTGCTTAACAAAATGCAAATTTGATAAGTCAGTAATTGAAAAACATTTCTGAGATTTTAAAAACATAATTAACGATTTTTAAGAAGAAAGAAATTAGCTGTATGTAGCAACATTTAAATATTACTTTAACTGAATTCTATCCTCATTCCAGATTTCCCCTTAAAACATGAAATATTTAAACCTAAACACAATAGCTTCATAGATGACGTGTTAGCATAGCCTTAAAAAAATGCCACAAAAATACCCTCCCCTGCCCTTAAAATTAACCTGCAGGCAATGGTCTCAGGGTCTCAGTCTGACTTCTACTATACCAATTATCTCCTACCTCAGGCCCTAAGATCACCAGTAACTATCACAGTAAGGTAGCAACAAGAGTAGGAGCAAGTGAGGAGGCTAAACAAGGTTAATTCTCAACATACAAATCTGTACCAAGAGCTTGGGAGGAGAAAAGAAATAAAGCTAAAATTTAGCAGATCAGAACTATCATGGAGGTCAAAGTAACATCACCACATCACCACCAATGAAATGAAAACGGTGGGAAATGCCTCCCAGGAGTTAGATCGATGTGTTTGGCTGACAGCAAAAAGTATTTAGAGTTCCATATTTTAGGAGATATCTTTCTTAGTTCACTAGCCATTCACTGCTTGTTCTTTGGAAACCCAAATCAAAACAAATGACAATCCTCCTCCAAGTGTTATGGCTTCGCATTCACTTCATTTGGAATGCTGCATGCTCTATTATTAAAATGTGCACAGAAAAAATTTCCATATTGTTTTAATATGTACAATCCTGGGACTCAGAGTCTGTACATATGAACCAAGTAAGTGGCTAGGGCAGCAAAGCTTTCAGTAATGTGTAATATCAAGCCAATACATGATATACATGGATATAATATTATCAGCAAACATTAGCCCAAACCACAGTAAAAAAAAAAAAATCATAGTGACAGCTCCTACACTCTCAGGTGCATTACTGAAAATGAGTACATCATTTTTATACCATGAGCATACCAAACCTGTATGTATAGGTTTCACTTAGGAAAAAAATTATCTGAGCAGCATAGAATCATGCAAAATATTGAACAGATCTTTATTTGCAACTGTAAACGCGATAGCATTGTATGCTACATAAATATCATAGCATAACATGCTGTTCTCTAAAGAATTCTGGAACATTAAATGCTGGTTGCAAACTATGCTAGAAAAGGGAAAAAAACAAATTTCACTGCGGAAATTAGTCCTTGTGATTAAAGAAGAAGAAGAAGAAGAGGAAGAGGAAGAGGAAGAGGAAGAAGAAGAAGAAGAAAAAGAAGAAAAAGAATACGACTGTTAAATTTGATGAGTCAGTGAGTCTGATTCATCTTGGGCTGTGCAAGCTAGGAGTAAAACACACCCAAAGGACATTCTCTGATGCCCACCCACACACCACAGATCTCTGCCCAGCGCAAGGACTCTGATCGTACCTTTTTCAGCCTCAATAGCCTCAACTGTGGCTGTACAGAAGTGAGCAGAGGCATGCAAAATGAATGAGAGAGATGAGAAGGGTCATATTGTACAGCAGAAAAGGCAATGATCACTTAAAATATCACAGTACCCCGTACTACATCATCATTTGCAATTTAACATATATAGTACCCATATTAGAGAGCCCCATCCAATCCCCCAATTCCTGACACAGCACAGTTTACACACAGCACTAAGACACCATCGCTCAGAGCACAGAACACGTAGACCTACTATACACACAGACACCTCAGCATCCATGCAAGTGCACACTAATATTAATTACCCATCTTGAATTCAGTATTTTGATGGCTTTAGAATTTTCCAACATGTTTATTATATCACATCCAACACAATCACAAGGAAATTCTCTAGGGTGAAATTATGATGGTAGAATTGTAGCAAAAGAGTACACAGGAGGAGATTCTTTTTCTTTCACATCTAACTGGAATAATATTTATCACCAGCTGGTTCCCTAAGATATAAACTAGAAGGGGTCAGCAATGCTTTTCCTGTCACTTCTAATTCATAGGGCAAAGCATAAGCTGCAAAAGTTGGTATGACCTACAATGAAATTTATGGGCAGTAAACTTGGAAAGTTATTCTAAACAGAACAGTTCAGTTCCATAGCCCTGTCCTTCACGTGTAATCTAAAAGGACTCCTCTGGTCTATTAGAAACTTCCTTTCTATTCTAACATTGGTGTTCAACTATCTAAAAATATTAACATATATAACCTTAAAAATCCATTTATGTTCAGTGTATCATGAACTCAAATCTACTTCCGGTACTAATAGGCTGCATTCTCAAGTGAAGATAAAAAGGCTACTTACTGAGCATCTTTTCAAGCCCATTGAACAATTAGAGAGGAATCAAGAGAAAGAACTGAGGTCTTACAGGCAATAAATCCTAATCACTTCATGATACAGACATACAAATAGGTCATGTAAATGAGAAATGCATTCTTGGTATAGCTTGTTTCTGGCCCATTAAGAGAATTTCAACATATTTAGTCATACATTTTGTAGTCAAAGTATCTTTTGGCTCATTTCTGGGTTCAAACTATATAAAGCACTCACATTGAGGACCAGGGCCAAAGACTACAGAGGACAATATTGTCAATTCTCAATTCTTCACCTTACCCAAAGTGCACACACTCAGAATATTTATAACAACAACGCCCCATCCTTTCTATTTTGCTTTTTCTACAGTAAGGTCAGCTAGGACAATTATTCCTAAACTGACCTTTTAGCAGTACACATGATTTAGAAATGATAAATTTTATCCAAAGCAGTTATTAATGTGAAAGGACACTGATGAACATATGGAATTAAAGTAGACTAAATTAGATAAGTTTGTTGATCTCAGCCAGATAGTAAAGTGAATTGGGGACCCCAAACAAGGAGGATGAACACTGAATAAAGGGAGAATTAATTTTTCTTAACTTTCAAATTATATTACAAATTAAAGCAGACATACTTATTGTATATTCACTGTACAAATTACCATTTAAAAAATTTAGCCCTGTACATTTGGAAAATACTCTTGGAATGTGCCCAGACAGAAAACTGAGACAAATGATCCATCTCTATTGAATCAGCCTTGGGACTCCTACTTTCAAAATGTGGACTATTTTCTTTTATAATTTAGAAATTAAATGAGGAAAAAATAAAACACCTATCCAAACCTATGTTTTAAAGAGCTTGTGGTAACAGAAGTGATTTTACATGAAATATT